CCACATTCACCAACTAAAGAGTGGCTGACCCAAGTTTTTGTCCAGGTCTGTCCACTATATGTTGTACTGACCGCAGTGACCTCAGTGGTCAGGAGCCTTCACGAGTGAACAGTTCCCAGGAATGATTTTGCATGAGCCTGGCACTGTAGCCACTGCCCTAACTCACTTGCCCTTCAGTGTGCTTGCCTCTGGTGCCCTGAAGGATGGTCTCCAGGACATTGTCCAGTGCTCGGGTCACATGGCAGATAGGACCAGCTATGTGGTCTGTGGAGGTACCATGCAGTAACTGCGGGGCTCCTGTTCAGAGATGGTGAGGAGTTTGCAGACACCGTGGGCAGAGCAGTCACCTGCGTGGGCCCAGTTGGCCCAGGGCTCTGTGTGACTGCACAGTGGTGACCATGAGGTAGCTCCTGCTGCAGGATGTACAGATAGAAGGAATGATGTCTGAGCAAGTAGCCTCTCAGGGTCCCGACTAGGTGGGGGAAGGAGTTTGGGGTGTCCCCTGAGCCTGGCTTCCCCTCCCCGGGGGGTCTCCTGTGTGTGGATTCAGTTCCGGCCCAGCCCCAGATTGTGTCTGGGTTGGAGACGCCAGTTCACACACTGGTCAGGTGTCGATGGAGTTTTTACCTCTCTGATGTAAAGCTAAGGAAATAAGGACATGGCAGTGAGGACTTTTTAGTGTTTGTGTTTATCTACAAAGCTAATTTATCCAATATAATGGACACTCTTCTGGTCTGAGATTATGTTTGTCTTACGGCTTTGGTGTTAAATGTTCTGTCACAAAGAGATTAATGACACATGGTCCTAGTTTTGAACTTTACTCACTAGCTGGATCAAAGGTTGGATACTCGGTGACACAATTTCCAGTGTTTGGGGGAAACTTGCTGGCTCCTGACATCCGATGTGTGGGTTGCGTGGACTCGTGGAACGGGGGGAGAAGGGCAGAGGCATGGTGAGGAGCCCCGGGCTGGGACACCCCTCGGTCTAAGAGGCCCCTTGTCTCCTCTACACCCAGCAGACTGGTCCAGACAGTCACTTAGAGCCGTCCAGCTGCTCGGCACCAATTACTGCGGAACAGGGAGAATCTGGAAGACAGGCCGGGGGGGTCCCACTTACTTGATTCATGGAGAAACGAAGAGAAGACAGTTTAAGGTCTAGGACAGAAAACCCACAAAACCACCTGACAGCTGCTCAATGGGCCTGAGACGAGCCTGCGCTGAATGCCCGGTGGAATGTCGCTGGGGTGCGAAGCAACAGCAGTTCTATTTCCAGTACCATTGACTTAGTCACATTGCGTTTGCAAGGCAGGCAGTGAACATCTGCGTATAAAAAACCCCTCTAATTCTTTCCTATGTCCCATCCTCTAAATGATGTCTTGGGACCCGTTTTGGGACCATCAAGCCCACTCTGTCGTTTTAAAAAGGAAGCCTATGAATTATTTCCTTAGTACATTAAAAATATGATAAAATATACTGCAAAATATGATAAAGTGCCCTGGCGAATGTTGCTCAGGGGTTAGAGTGTCGGCCCACGCACCGAAGGGTCTCGGGTTCGATTCCTGGTCAAGGGCACGTACCTGGTTGCAGGTTTGATCCGCAGCCCTGGGTGGGGCACATTCGGGAGGCAAGCAGTCAACGTCTCTCTCACATCGGTGTTTCTCTCTGTCTCCCATTCCCTTTCCTCTAAAATCAATGGGAAAAACACCCTTCGATGAGGATTAGTGAGCACAACATGATCGTGATTTCCAAGTTCAGCGCAGAGCCTCTGTGACTGCATTCAATCGGCATTTGGCCAGTAAATTTAATAACATGTATTTGTATCTGATCTTGTCACACTATAAACATGTCTGGCAGCTACTTTTCTTTTTTACAGTTTGCCAGGGTGGTTCTCCGGCACAGCTACTGTACAGTCTGCCTTGTGCTTCCGGAATCGCCAACCAGCCTTCGTTGCTCTCGGGAGCTCAAACCCAGGGTCACTGTCCAACGGCTCCCAGCCGCGCCAAGCGTTGAGCGCACAGCTGTGGTCCTCACAGCCTGAGTCATCTTCCTCCTTCCCTTCTGGCCCGGTCCTGTGATTCATCGTTCCGCTTTTAGAATATTTGCCTATTTTTAAAACCAGTCAAAGAAGGCAGCCACTGTTTAAAAGTAAACACACCACACATCCACTGGGGCAGCTTGGAGAGCAGCCTGGAGAGCCCTGGAGCTTCTGGCGGGCGGGGGTGCCAGCTACGGCAGATGGCACGGCGCAGGACGCGCAGGGCTGGCTCGGACACAGCTGCCGCCTCACATCTGCCTTTGGCTTTCTTGCTGCTGCTGCCGTTTCCTGCTTGGATTAATCCAACTGGATTCTTTTTTTTAACAGAAAAGTCTTTTATTTTGTCATTGTAAAATATCAATTATACAGGGTGTCCCCAAAAATGTATACACACTTTGAATAATTATAAAGGCAGTATTTATTAAAATGCATTTCATTTTCAAAATGGAACAGAGTCAGCTGCTAAGTGTGTAACCATTTTTGGGACACCCTGTGTATTTATTTCTATGTCAGTCGATCAGGTTTCCCTAGCAGCTGGAGGCATCCAAGGCTGAGCCTTTCCTTACCTGCGGGATTGTCGGTGTGATGGCACACATGTGCCCGGATGTGCTGCGACTCAGGTTTCTGCCTTGGGCTTCGTCGATTCTGGGTCACACCGGGTGTTTGCTATTTACTTTGCTGCAGCAAAGCAAGTGAGTTCTTTATTACAGTTGAGGAAGGAGTGGGACTCCATGGGGAGCCTGGTGGACAGGGCCCCGGAGGCCTGCGTCCCATGCCTGCGGTCTTCTGCGTTCCAGCAGCGGTGCCTGTCCTGCTCTAACACGGGCGGCTTCTGCCCCCCGTCTGCCTGCTCACCTAGGATTATCAGGGTTGGGAGGCCAAAGTATAACATGTTCCCAGGTACCTGTGCCAAAATGTTCTGGCCTTGAACTCATTGAGCTAAAATAGTTGTGTCGGGGATGTGGATATTCTATTGAAGTACATTTAAATGCAACTTTGACCCAAATCAGTTGAAAAAATTACAGGTTTTATGCCTGGCAGGCGTGGCTTAGTTGGTTGAGGGTCGACCTGTGCGCCAAGAGGCCACAGGTTTGATCCCCGGTCAGGGCACGTGCCGGGGCTGCGGGCTCGACCCCCAGCGGGGGCGAGCAGGAGGCAGTGGAATGATGCTCCTTGCTCATTGGTGTTTCTATGGTCTCTCCTCCGCTCCTTTCCCCTCTAAAGAACCACATAAAAACCCCCAGAAACTATAGGATTTATACTGAAGGCCACCTCTAAAGGGTCAGTGGCAACAAAGGAATATTTGTCTTCTGTCCAATTCTTTGCAAGTGACGGGTGGATTTAAAGCCCACAGTGTTTGGCAGAAGTCGTCACCTCTGAGTAGGAAGCGAGCATCTGAAGGGCCGGGCACTCGTTTCTTTAAGACCGTCCAGCCTGCAGGAAGAACTGGGGTAGGTTCCCGTTTCCACTTCTCCGTGAAGCTGGTTAGTGCCTGCGAACCCTGGGCGCCCGCGGTCTGCGCAGGCCCCGGAGCCGACGACTACAGGCTGCGGTGCCGTCACGGTAGCCGCCTGTCCGTGCAGAACCCTTACCCACCCTTCACTAAGACATGCCAGAGGCCACTGGGTGACAAGACCCTCGCGGTGCTTGGCTGAGGCTGAGACTGTCCTTGTCGCAATCACCTCGCCGGTGATTGTCTCCGGCACCTTCCAGGAAGCCGAACCCTTAGAGGCAGGAGCTCTGCGCCCTGTTGGGGCGAGGATGGGAGCCTCTGTGCCGTGGACGACCGGGTCACGTCCTCTCATTCTAACAAACATCAGCCTGGCTCCTGTGGCTCAGCCGGTGGGGCTTGGTCCCAGGCACAGGACGTCCCCAGTTCGATTCCGTCAGGGCACATGCCTGGGTTGCAGGCTCGATCACCCGTGGGGGGCGTGAAGGAGGCAGCCGATCCATTTGCTTCTTTCCCATCGATGTTTCTCTCTCTCCCTCCCCATTCCTATCTCACTAATACCAATAAAAACAAATTTTCTTAAAAAAGAACATCAATTCTTAGAAATAAACTGGACTACGGTAGTAAGAATGTGAAAATGATTACTACAATTTACAAGAGCTTTGGTTTTTAATTATTTGTCCAGCCTGTATTTTGGTTTAGTCTCAGGGGCTACGTCCTGGGCAGGTGCTGTCAACAGGAGGGAAAGGACAGGAGTTGCCCCTGGACCTGCTGAGCCGGAGCCACCTGGACACGTGGAGGTTCTGTTGACGGGTGCTTCCCGCTCCTGCCAGGGCCCTGTCAGCAGGATGTTCTTGAAGAGATTTGGGGGTAACTCGGTTATTTGAGACCAGACTTCTCTTAGGTTTCCGTTGATGCTTCTGAGACCTGCGTCTGCTCATCAGAAACACCTGCCAGTCTGTCGGTGTGGAGACAGATGCCCATGTCTCTCGGGCATTGAGGCAGTGGGCGGGGCCTCAGGCTGGGGGACCTCCCTTCTCCCCGTGACCCAGAACAGGTGCTGGTTAGCTGCCCTGCTCCGCTGCTCATTAGCGGGGTTTACAGTTGGGGCAGAGAGCAAAGCCATCAACACCAGTCCCCTGGTCGTTCACGCAGGACTCAGGACTCATGTCCGGTTTTCACTAACATGTTCTCTACTGTCTGTCGAGGTGTCTGGGCACCTTGTTAAAGCACTTCCCTGTGCATCGTATGTTTTCGGTTTTGTCTAATGTGGGGATCATGGGAGCACAGAACAAAGAACACTGAACTACCACAGAACATTTGCAAAGTGCTGGCCCAGCCGACTTCGCTCCCGATCCTTCTGTGTGTTGAAAATGAGCGACATTGTCTTCTGCACCCTGTGTGTCCCCAACCAAGTGACACAGTGAGGGAGGCAGTCGGTACTGATGGTTTAACTGCAGGCCAGGCCAGGTGAAAGGAAAGGCTCCATAGTGAAAATCTTTCCTTTTCGTTTCAGATGGTGCGCCCCCCGAAGACCCCTCTCCTCTGGCCTTTCCAGAACTAGACCAGCAGCTGCAGGTGAGGATTCTTCTGGCCCCTCTTCTTTCCTTCTGCTTCAAAACACAGAACTGAGGGGCCATCTAACTGGGAGGCAGACAGAGGTGGCTTTCAGGCCTCTGGGGCCTGGGTTTCTAGAGCTGCAAGCTCAGGCCCAGGCCCTGGCTCAAGTCCCTGCCTGGTGTCCGCACAGCAGCAGACGACTGGGACCGTGCAGACGAACCGGCCCCTGTGCTCGGAGCCATAGGACTGGGATGTTGGGTCAGCTCCCCTTTGTCTCCGGGCAGCACAGGGGGCCCGCTGGATGGGTGACTTAGTAAAAGATGGAGACGTCCATGTGGCGGCCAGAATAATCTTCCTTCTCTACCCGCCCCTCTCCCCGGTTCTCTGACAGCCTTTAATGGAATATAATTATTTTACGTTAAACCTTGTGGAAACACTCTGGTCTGACCCATGGGACAACACGTCCTGGGCATAGCTGTGGGTGATGTATCAGCGATGGTCCGTTTTGTACACCACAGTGACCGGAAAGGAGCTACTTTAGGGCATTTGGTTCTCTTTAGAGGGTAGGTGCTGATTCCAGGCAGCGCAGCTCTGGGAAGACGTTGGACACTGGCCTCGGGTCAGACGTCCGTGTCCCAGGTGTCACGGGCTTGGGTCTTGCGTAAGGACAGTGGCTTAGTCGCTACTTTTCTCTAAATGCTGCGTCTGAAAGACTTGCAGTGGGGTCCACAGCCTCCAGTTCCCCACAGACCCTGGGGTTTCCGTACACCCAGCAGCTGTCCCCTCTGTGGCTGTGCCTGGTCCCTGGAGGCCCTGGAGTTGGAGCCCCTGTTCCTGGACAGCCCTGGACAGGTGGGAAGAACCAAGAATGGGCCCTTGTGTCACCCAACCTGGTGTCCCCTTTTCTCAGCCAGTTCTTACCTCGGCGCCTGTGCCCAGAGCTGGTGCCCCTGCTGGGGTGGCCTCCAGAGGAGCCCCATTCGCACCTGCCCCAGCCCCGGGCACTGCCACCGCCCTCAGCAGAGCAGTGTCGGGGTGTAGAGATTACGGGGGGTTGCCCAGGACCTTGGGGGTCACACCAATCACACTCGCTGTTGAAAGGCACCTCTGTTCTCTACACTGTCCCCTGCAGCTCCAGTGTCCTCTCCCCCCTCCTCCCGTGTCCCATGCAGGGTCTTCAGCCTGCTCCCTGCTTCCTGATACCCACACATTCCCCGGATTCCTCCTCCTCTCACATGGGTAGCACCCGGCCCTCTGTCTGCATCTCCATCCGTCTGGCACAATGTTCCCGCTTAGACTCTGGCCTCGCCGATGGGCTGTGTCTGTTGCCCCTGATACTCTGTTGACTCTCCAGGGCAGGGGACAGTGGGACCTGGAGGAAGAGACTATCAAAACCGCATCTACCGCAGAATCTTATCTCACGTTATCATAAGCATGTACCTTTAAGCCATCCTGCAGCCAGGTGTGTCTGTACCAAAATCCATGGAAGCACTACATGTGGGAAAGGAACCGTCCATTCCGCAAGTGGGCGGTCTCATGGCCGTGTGCTTCCAGCACGGTCCTCGGAAGAAAGGAAGTCAGGCTCCAGCCGGTGTGGCTCAGTGGTTAGAGCGTCAGCCTGCGGACAGAGGGGTCTTGGGTTCAGTTCTGATAAAGGGCACATACCTGGGTTGCAGGTTCATTCCCGCCCTAGTCTGGGCCCCTGCGGGAGGCAGCCAATCAATGTGTCTCTCTCACATTGACGGTTCTCTCTCCCTCTCCCTCCCTTCTCCTCTCTCTAAAAATCAATAGAAAATATACCCTCAGGTGAGGATTCACCCCAAAAGAAAGTTAGCTCACACGGGCACATGGAGCACCTTGTGCTTGTCACTGTTTGCTTGAGGAAGAACTGACTTGATCTCTCCTGGAGCCCAGGAACCTTGCCTGAGAAAGAGGAGTGACGCCCTCCCTGCCCCCTGAACACCCTCGATTTTGGTGCCACTGTGCACCGCCAGGCAAGGGTGTTCCCCGCAAACCATCTCCTCTGATCCTTGCAACAACCGTAGGAGCTGACTGTTATGTCTCCACTCTAGAGACGAGAAATGTAAGGTCAGATTTTGGTGTAAATACATTTGCCAATTTAGATGACCTCTGATTCTGCATCTCCATAGCCTCCTTCCCCCGACACCTTCTTTGGAGCCTGTGAATAGCTTAAATTGCTTCAATAGGTGTAGATTTTTTTGTTTCTGGTTTGTGAGGTTGCTGTAGTGTGTCCATAGAACAACCTTATAAAAAATCTGTTCAGACTTTCCAATAGCCGTTTCATATTCTTTTGTCATTTATAATGCAGCTACAAAGTATATATTTGGTGGATACTCTATCACCAAGTTGACCCCTAGGATTTTCCCGTTGCTTTGCCAAGAATGTGGACATGTTCGAGCATGAAATTCATGGTGCTTCTATTTTCACAGAAGCCAAAAACAGGCCTGTGCAGGAGCAGCAGTGACAGACACTGCCCTTGATGTCTCTATTAATGCAGGGGGTTGGGCAGGGGACCTTGGGGCAAGGGAGGTGTTAAAACAGATATCGGTGTTCATTTGTGGGCTGCGGGCCCTGGCCCAGGGGCAGGCGGTAGGCTGATTCTATTTTGTGTGGATTCCTTTCCTGGAAATGGGTTTCTAAATTCTCCATGCCCACCAGAGGCCGTGTGTGGGTGGAGCGAGTTTAGAGCATATAGGGGCACCATTTTATGTCCACTTGTAAGAATGAATGAAACATTGTTACTCTTCTTTTTTAAAAATCCTCACTGGAGGGTATTTCTCCATTGATTTTTAGAGAGTAAAAGGGGGGGGAGAGAAACATTGATGTGAGAGACACATCAATCGGTTGCCTCCTGCAGAAGCCCTGACACGCCACGGATTGAACCTGCAACCCAGGTATGTGCCTTTGGGTCCTGATCCCAGGACCCTTCAGTCCGCAGGCCAGCGCTCTAACCGCTGAGCCACACTGGCCAGGGCTCATTACTCTTCTTCAGGCCTCTGTTTCCCTCTGTTTGAAAAAGGTGATGACTGGCCTCCCTTTCTAGTCTGAAGGATGGGACAACTCTTCAGTGGGCTCAGGGTCTGGGTCAGCACCAAGTTTGTCTTCAAATTTAACAATTGTGCTATGTTTCCGGGACCATGGTTTGGCCTGTAGATTATCCAAAGCTAAGCTGCAATGTGGTCTAATTGTTATCATTGGAGTGAGGAATATGTTTTTATCATCGGGTAGGGGACATGCTAATGAGTGGGTGCTAATAACTTCCCTGAAGGGAATCACAAGATGGCTGGCAAGCAGGGACGTTGGCATTGGATTGGCCTGGACTGGAGCTCAGCTCTGCCTGTAGTTCTGTGATCCCGGGAGTGCTGTTTCCTCTCTCTAAACCCCACTTTTCAGAACTGCAAAGTGGAGATAACATCCAGCTCACGTTACTGTTGTGGGAACCAAATGTGATGACAAGTGGAGCCAGCGCAGCGCAGTGCTTGGCAGGATAATTGCTCAATTCATGTGAATTGTCTTTCCTAATGAAATTGTTTATTGAATGAAGCATTTGAGAATTTACAATTATATGTGTCATGGGAAAGGAGAGGCGTTTTCAGTTAGAAATAGAGGTTCTGATGCCCTCTTCTTTTCATGAAGTCGAGGTACTTGGAAAACAATATGACTTTTGTTAAGCAAATTGAGCAATAGTTTCACCTCCCCCCTCCCCCCCAAGTCCTCCCATTGAATTTGAGAAGTGACAGGTGTCTGTGGAACACATTGAACTCGCCTTTCCTCAGACAGTGTCTGGTTCGTCCAGAACCTGAGGTCACCGCCACAAATAAGCAGTGCGCAGCCTGAGTTGTGACTCTGATGTCTCGTTATCCGAGTCGTCTCTCCAGAAACTCGTTTTAGGTCTTGCATCAGTGTATCGCTTTAGCTGGGGAAGGAAGCTGGAGCCTTAGGATTCCAGGGCCCTGGACCCTCCTGCAGGAAATAGCGGCTTTTCCCTCTCAAACCTGTTGAAAGGTATTTGAAGAATCTTGCAGCACCTTTGCCTCCTGTGACCACAGAGACCATAAATACAGACCCTTGAAGCTTTGCAATGGTGCCTTTCTTTTAGTGGTCATTAGGACATGCCTTGTAGGGAGGGTCGGAGACACTCTGGAGTTATTACCTTTAATGTTGCTTATGTCAATAGAAATGACGTAAATATTCTTCATTTCAATGTCATCTAATGTATAAAATACGCTGTACATCTACTAGTGCTGTCGTTGACCATAATGTCGATACTATAGAAATCTCACTTCTTAAAATGTTTTAAAAATATTTAAAATTCCAAGATAACAGCGTTTTCCAATATTGCAACTATTCCTTAGTATGTTTTTCCATTTAGCTTTAACGAATTATGCTTGTGAATTTTGGGGCATTGAAGTGCAACATAGATTTAAACCTGACGCCCCACTGCCCCCCAAAATAAAGGTGACACCGAGAATTAAGGGATAAACACAAAGTCTGCGCAGCAACTGTAGGACATTTAGCTTCCTAAATATATCTCGTGTGTGGGAAGCCGGGAGAGGAAAACCAGCTTCTTACGTTTTCGAGACGGACGGCCCGGTGTTTGGAGGCGCGAAGCCCCGGCCCTGCGGGGAGAGGCCCGGCCGCGGGCCTCCTGGGCGTGGGGCGCGGCTCCTGC